CCTCAGCCTCCCAAAGGCGCGGGATTACAGGCTGAGCCACCGAGCCCGGCTCAGATTTCTGAATTTGACAGAAGAAAAAGAATCAAGAAAACAAATGAAAGCTAGCTTCCCATAGAGTTACAGCTTTTGATTTATGCTCCCTAAGGACCTGCACAACACACCTACCATCTATTATCACCATCATTTCATAAAAGAAACTACATTTTCATTCTTTTCAAAAGAGAAAGGACATCATCTGAATAAAAAACAATAATTCCTGAGAAAGGGTAGTCATTGACTTTATACTGACAAACATTCCTCTGTCTTTATTTTTTTGTTGAGCTGTGAACTAGTGAAAATGTCACCCTGGAGATGACTCTGCTTCTAATCCCTCTGAATCATCTGAGAGCAGAACCGGAAGAAATGTGCTTTGGGTATAGCAGGAGGGAGTTAGGTTACAGCCCAGAGAGAACAACATTGTTTGGAGTTCTTTAAAGGACAGGTGAATACCACATTTGCTTAGGATGTCAGGGTTGCAGAGTCAGCTCCATGGGTTGGAGGGGATGGTGACTCTGGGTCCCACTCTGGAGAAGGGCAGACAGGGACCTCGTCCTGAGGATCCATTCTCATAACCACCAAAGTAGCCTTGGAACCTAAAATGACAGTTCCCGTCAGGAAGTCGTTTCCTGGCCCAAGTTCAGGGGATGTAATGAGGGGTTCGTGGCAATGGGGAGGCCTCTGTGGGCATCTCCTCACCCCTCATTGCAAGGAGTGTCCATGTAGTCACTCACCTTGGATGCCAGGAATGACTCTTTTTTTTTTTCTCACCTCCTCCCCCACCCAGGAATGACTCTTAAGGAGGGTTGAGGATGGAAGACAGGAAGCGAATGGCTGCCCAGGTATTGCCTGTTCCCTGCTCGCTGCCTAGGCTGTGATGGACCACTGCTGGGAGTGGACAGGCGTGGCTGGCTGTGGCATCATCGAGGATGCTGTTTCCCTGTTTCTCCTTCTCCCTCCACCCTAAGTGTAGCCCAAGACCCAGAGCCTGGTGTCTCTACTCTCCCCAAAAGAGCTCAGAACTGGGCCGGTGAAGCCCTGCTCTGGTGCCATGCTCTCAGCACTGCCTCTGGCTTGGGGCTTGTCACCTCCCTGTTCTGGACCAGAGATTAGGGCCAGAGAGTGTGGGGAGACTCTGGTGGGGAGGAGGGAAAGACCCCCAAATACCTAAACCAGTCTCACCTATCCCATCCTAGTGGTGGAAATCCAGGCCTCCAAAGGTGGGCTTCAATCCTTGAGGGATGGCATTTTCTGGTTCCAGAGGCCACCTCAAGCCTCAGCCCACCTATGGGGATACTGAGAGGCAGGACTTCCAGATGTAGGTCCCTCCATGCCTGAAAGGCACAGACCTACCGACATTTTAATCCTGGAGTCTTAGAATGGTAAATCTGGATCCCTTCAGGTTATAAATGCAGACACTGAAACCCAGGCAAGGGCAGTCCCTTCTTCCTCCAGGGTCACTCTGACTCGATGATCTAGGACCCAGTTTCTAGACTCTGTTCTCAAGCCCTCAAAGAATGACACAACATGACTCCAGCACCGAGTAAGTGCAGGGTCCTGTGGCGGATGCTAGCAGTGCAAAGACAACTGCCCTTAAGAGCTTCTGGTCAAACAGGTAAGCACCAAGACAACAAGGCAGATGCTGGAAAATGGCGGATTTGCCTCAGGACTCTGTGCACACTTTAAAAGATGCTTCTGGCTGGGCCTGTTGGCTCACACCTGTAATCCCAGAACTTTGGCAGGCCAAGATGGGAGAATTGCTTGAGCCCAAGAGTTCAAGACCACCCTAAGCAACATAGTGAGATCTCGTCTCTACAAAAAAAGTGAGTCAGGTGTGGTGGTGTGCCTGTAGTCTCAGCAACTTAGGAGGCTGAGGAGGAATTATCACCTGAGCCCAGGAGGTCAAGGCTGCAGTGAGCTGTGATCGTGCCGCTGCACTCCAGCCAGGGTGACAGAAACCCCCACTTGAAAAAAAAAAACGCCGGCCAGGCTCGGTGGCTCAGCCTGTAATCCCAGCACTTTGGGAGGCCGAGGTGAGTGGATTGCCTGAGACCCACCTGGGCAACTTGGTGAGACCTCATCTCTACGATAAATCAAAAACTAGCTGGGCGTGGTAGCACATGCCTGTAGTTCCGGCTACTTGGAAGGCTGAGGCGGAAGGATCGCCAGAGTCCGGCAGGTTGAGGCTGCGGTGGCCGGGAGCGGCCACTGCACTCCAGTCGGGGCGACTGAGTGAGACTCCAACTCAAAAAAAAAAAAGAAAAAAAAAAGCCACGTGGGGTGACTCAGCCTGTAATCCCAGCACTTTGGGAGGCCGAAGTAAGTGGATTGCCTGAGCCCGCGGGTTCGAGACCCGCCTGGGCAACTTGGCGAGACCTCATCTCTACAATAAATCAAAAAAATCAGCCGGGCGTGGTAGTGCATGCCTGTAATTCCGGCTACTCAGAACGCTGAGGCAGAAAAATCGCTGGAGCCCAGCAGGCCGAGGCTGAGGTGGCCGGGAGCATGCTACTGCACTCCAGTCTGGGTGACAGAGTGAGACTCCAACTCGAAAAAAAAAAAAACTAAAAAAAAGAAAAAGATGCTCCCCTCCTTTTCATTCCCCAACAGGGGAAGGGAGCCCCATCTGGAGAGATACCCAAGACCTGGGTGTAGAACTATAGGGAAAAGATCACAGATGGGAGCACCCAGGGCAGTAAAGGAGTGGGGCTGTCAATGGGCACATCCCAAACACCCCTCCCAGAAACGCCCAAAGGACCCAGCCCAGAAATGGACCTCTTCTGCCCTCTAGTGGGAGAAAGGCAGCATCTGGCACTGCCTGCTGGGGTCCCACCAACCCAGCTCCCCCAAAGAAGGGGATGGGAAGGACTCCCCTGCCCCCCTACCCCTGGGTCTTGTGTTTCATCTCCTGCAGCCTCTAAATCTAAACCTCCTTTTTCTCGAGTACCCCCGGCCACCCCATTTCCTGACCACCACCCTCCATCCCATCGTCTCCCCAGTTTCCTTTGTTGCCTGGGTTCCGATTCTGGTACTCTGGCTCCTGACCTTGCCAGAGTTCTGGTTCCAGAAGGCCCTTCCCAGGTGCCTTGGGCCTAGCTCCCGCCCGGGGCCCAAGGCAACGCTGAAGCCATGGGCAAGAGCATCTCCCGATACCTGGGGCAAGTGGACATCCGCAAAAGTCTAGTGAGCCTGGCCACAGGCGCTGGGGCCATCTACCTGCTCTACAAGGCCATCAGGGCTGGCATGAAATGCCAACCGCCCCTCTGTAACAACTCACCCATCTGCATCGCCCGTGAGTGTCCGGGTCCTGGGGAGAGGGCTCTGCCCCAGGAGGCGCCTGCTCCCGAGGCCTCCACTGTGGGAGGGCCCAAAGGTGACTCCTCCATGTTCCTTTCTTCCTCTTTCCTCTACCTTCCTCACGCCCACCCTGCAGCGCCCTGGGCAAGGCCCTGCTAGAGACACTGGTTCAGGGTCCCTGGGTTCCACTCGGGGGAATCCTCAGACTCTCCTGACAGGTCTCCAGATACAGCCCTTACTCTGGCTCCCAGGATTCCACTTCTTGGAAATGTGCTATCAGCAGCTCCCCCGCTCCCCTTGCTGTTCCAGGAAAGGGAGCATTGGAGGACCTGCCTGCCCAGAGCGTATGGCACTTCTGGGCAAAGTAGAAAAATACTCCCCTTCTGCAAGACTCTCTGTTGCCATCTGCTGGAATATCGGTGCATATGCCCCCTGTGATGAAATACTATTTGTTACGGCACGTGCCAGAGAACTGTCATAGTAAATAGATAAATCTATGATGCGATGTTGTGGACAGTACAACATGAGATGGGGTGCCCTTCTGCAGTGCACACCTTGTTCAAGTGTACCTGGTGGTCCCACATGCAGCGAGAAGGCTTCTTTTCAGAAAAGGCCAGGCAGCCTTGTCCCCAGGTCCCCCGCTTCCCAGCCCCATTCTTTCATTACTCCTGAGTCCACAGCCTGAATGGGGCTGGGGTGGCTGTCTAGGCCTGGCGATCGAGCGAGAGCGGCACGGGCGGGACTCAGGCGAGATCCGGAGGCTCCTCAATTCTTTGGAGGTCAAACAGGACGAGTACGCCAGGAGCATGATCCTGCACAGTATCACGCGCTGTGTGTACCTGCTGGAGGCTGAGGTGAGGGAAGGGAAGAGACCCAGGGTCTCTCTCAGCCAACCCGGCCCCGGGGGGTTACAGCTGATCCCTGCCCCTTGACTGGACAGGCTGCGTCCTGTCTCTGTCCGGCTGATGACGTGAGGGGTGTGCTGAGGGGTCATGGTGACTCGGGGGACAGTGGGCCCCGGACACCCGCTTCTCCTGCCTTTTCTGTCTCTCCCCACATACTCCAGGCCTCTGCTTGTACAACTGATGACATCACTTTGGTGGGCTACATGCTGGATGACAAGGACAACAGTGTCAAAATCCAAGCTCTGAATACACTTAAAGCTTTCTCAGGCATCCGAAAATTCAGGCTCAAAATCCAGGTGAGCCCACGGGCAATTAATTGGCGATGAGACACGGGATGTCCAGGATCCTTGGGTCTCTTAGTTGGCATAGGATACGTGGCCACACTCCAGAAATTTCTTTGGATCCGAGTTTGTAACCCAGAAATAAATGGGAAAATGGCAGCCGGATTCACAGCAGGGTCATGAAAGCCTTTGAATCTCAGGATGAAACTGAATCAGCGCACTCGTGGTATCTCTAAACCCCAAACAGCAGAAACGCCCCCGCCCCAGGTTCTTTCTGACACCAACCAATTCTCGCCACCAGCTGGGTGTCCAGCAATTCAATTCACTTCTGACACTGTAGTTAGAGCAGACCCCACAGGTTAAGGGCTCAATTCCATAAGGCTGTCCCTACTTCAGACATCAATCACGAGTCTGACTTCTGACCATCCAGCTATAAATTGGGGTTTTCTACCACTCTCTTTTTAGGTTTGATAATTTGCTAAGATGGCTCACAACACCGAGGAAGGAACTTTGCTTACTGTTACTGGTTTGCTATTAAGGACATGACTTAAAACAGCCAGATGGGAGCGATGTCCAGGGCATGGTATGGGAGAAGGGGACACAGAGCTTCCAGGCCCTCTCTGGGCATGCCCCCCTCTCTACACTCCAAATCCCATTGGTTAGAAGTTTTTTATTTTATGGTTATAGTTTTGAGTCAGGCTCTCACTCTGTCACCCAGGCTGGAGTGCAGTGGCATGATTACAACTTACTGCAGCCTCAATCTCCTAGGCTCAGGGAATTCTCCCACCTCAGCCTTCCTAGTAACTGGGATTATAAGTGCACAACCATGCCTGGCTAACTTCTTGATTTTTTTGTAGAGATGGGTTCTTGCTATGTCGTCTAGGCTGGTTTTGAACTCCTAGGCTCAAGTGGTCCTCCCACCTCGGCCTCCCAAAGTGTTGGGACTATAGGTGTGAGCCACCACACCTGACCTGGTTAGAAGTTTTTAATGAAGGCCTCATTGTGTAGGCATGATTGATTGAATCACTGGTCATTGGTGATTGAACTCCATGCCCAGTCCCTCTCCCTTCTCCAGAGGTCAGGGGCGGGGCTGAAGACCCCAACCCTCTAATCTTGCCTCTGTCATTTGGTGACCAGCCTCTATCCTGAAGCTATCTAAGGGTTGCCAAGATGTCTTGCTAGCATGAACTCTGGATGTGATCCAGAGGGGCTTGTTAAGAGTAACAAAGACACTAATAACACTCAGGAAATTCCAAGGGTTTCAGGAGCTCCGTGCCTGGAACCAGTGACAAACATCAAAGGTGTTATGCCATGCCCCCACCCCCACCCCCATGCCTATGTCCATCAGAGGCTGACGGCTGGACTACCATTGCCTTCACTACCACCCTGCAGACAAAACATAAACCTGCAAATGTCACTTCCCTCATCATGCCCCCAAGCTTACCTGTTCCCACACCTCTCCTCTCTGCTTTCTTGCTGATCCCTGAAAAAATGGCTTTCTCCCTGTCTGTGGGAGTGCTAGTCTCGTTTTCTTTTATTTGGAATCAGAGTCTCACTCTGTCATCCAGGCTGGAGTGTAGTGGCTTGATCACAGGTCACTGCAGCCTTGACCTCCTGGGTTCAGGCGATCCTTGTGCCTCAGCCTCCTGAGTAGCTGGGACTACAGGTGTATACCACCACTTCTGACTAATTTTTTTTTTTGAGTTGGAATCTCACTCTGTTGCCCAGGCTGTAGTACAGTGGCACACTCATGGCCACCACAGCCTCGACCTGGGCTCAGGCGATCCTTCTGCTTCAGTCTTCCAAGTAACTTTAACTATATAGTATACCACTATACCCAGCTATTTGTTTGTTTGTTTGTTTAACAAGGTCTCTCCATGTTGCCCAGGCTGATCTCGAACCTGTGGGCTCAGGCAATCCTCTTGCTTCTGCCTCCCAAAGTGCTGGGCTTACAGTTGTGAGCCACTGCTCCTGGCTGTCTGGCTCATTTTTTTATTTTTGTAGAGACAAGTTCTCACTGTGTTGCCCAGGCTGATCTTGAACTCCTGGGCTGAAGCAGTTCTCCTGCCCTGGCCTCCCAAAGTGCTAGGATTACAAGCATGAGCCCCTTCACCTGGCCTAGTACTAGTCTCAGTCCTGCATCTCACCCCTTCCTTGAGGGTCTCTCTCCTTGCTTTCCCCCTCTGCCTGAGGTGGTCTCCCTGACTCCTTCCCATTAGCACTCAGCATGCTCCAATCTCTCCCATCTTATGAAGCAAAATGGAAAACATTCTTCCTTTACCTCCTAATCTCCCCCTGGCAAACAGTCTGTCTCTCCCAAATTAAAAATAAAATATTTAACACTTACAAATATTATATATATGTAAGGTAGAAAGAATAACAATAAAGCAGAACACACATCACCAGACCCATCCTTTTCACTGTTCAGTAGTGTTCTATTTTATGAATACCTTGCCATCTGCCCATTGCTTCCTGGTGCTTGCTGCACCCACCACATCGTGTGAACTTGTTCTTTGTGTGCCTGGGATAATTTCTCTAGGGTGTGTATGCAGGAGTGAAATGGCTTGGTCAAAGGATGTGGCCAACTTTTCCAGAAGGATTGTATCTATGCACACCTCCACCAGCCCTGTGTCATAACCTCACTAACACTTGATAATTTCACACTTAAAAATTTTTAATGTCAAACTCTTTGGGGGATGTTAGGTCAGTAAGCTGAGCTGGTGTTGCAGGCATGCAGAGATTTGCATAGAAAATAAATTGGAAAAATAGTTTATCCAGGAAGCAGATCAGAAAGAGAGCATATCCACTTCCCTGAATTGAGAAGGGAGCCAGATGTTTAAAGGAAATGCCCAGGGCTAGGAGTTTATACAATTTAAGCATTGGCTGGGATTGGTGGCTCTGCCTGTAATCCCAGCACTTTGGGAGGCCGAGGCGAGTGGATTGCCTGAGCTCACGGGTTCGAGGCCAGCCCGGGCAACTTGGCAAGACCTCATCTCTACAATAAATCAAAAATTAGCTGAGTGTGGTAGTGCATGCCTGTAGTTTGGGCTACTTAGAAGACTAAGGTAGAAGGTTCGCCTGAGCCCAGCCTATCGACACTAGGGTGGTCAGAAGGATCACTTGGCCCAGCAGGTCAACTCTGGGGTGGCCATGAGTGTGCCACTGCACTCCAGCCTGGGTGACAGTGAGACCCCCAACTAAAAA